CCTGCTCTGTTCTGCGGAGATGTCTGGCCTTGGCTTCTGGTATCCAGTACTCTTTTTACAATTCTTGTTTAGTTTTCTTGTTTGTTCTGGTTTTCTATTCTATGTCTGGTTTTCTTTATGCTGGGTTTTCTGGGTTCATTCCTGTATTCCATTCCTGGAATTCCCAGTCTCTTGGATTCCTTTATTTTTTTTTGTTTTATGTTGCCACACCCTTTCCATTAATCCTTTTGTTTCAGTTGGTTCTTGCAGGCAGTTGCTCCATGTCCTCTGCCCCTTTCTTGCAAATAAGTGCTGTGTGTGTTTTATTATTGTTTATTTAGTCATGCATATCTAGGTAGATAGAACCCACCGTAATTGGAGTACTTTGACGCAGTGGTGGGCTGCATACATCTTTATGTATGTCTAAATCTCCAATGTTTATTGCACATATTAGTACTTCGTTATGTCTCCTCTTGTTTTGCCTTGTATCTCTGGTCTAGTTTCATTTTGCTTGTATTCCCAGTTCATGTACAGTCCTGTCCTGCTCTGTTCATGTTTCCCTCATGTCTCGTGTGCATGTTCTGGGTTCTGATTTCTGTCCTGCTCCGGTTCTGGGTTCTTTTGGTCTTGTCTTGTTTTCTTGTTAGGTGCCTGTTCTAGTCTTGCCTTGTTTCTGTACCGGATACATATCTGCTGCAGAGCCCCCCTATCCAGTTCCTGGGAGGTCTGCATATCAAGCTCCTAGCTCTTGGGATCCGCAGACGCTGCATCAGGGCCTTGGCATGTGGCCGCACAAACGCTGGTGCTTAACACCAGGGGGTGTGTGGTTACCCTGCACCAGGCCCTGATGGTCCATTTCCACGCTGAGACTTCATCATCATCAGGCAATCAGGGTTCCCGGTCTCAGTACCGCCACCCGTGACAGGAAGAAAGGATGAAATTAAGGAAGAAAGGACGGAAGAAAGTTGAAAGTAAGGAAAAAAATGAAGGAAGAAAGGAAAGAAGGAAGAAAGGAAGGAAGGAAGACATGAAAGGAAGGAAGAAAGGGAAAAAAAGAAGAAATGGAAAGCAGAAAAGGTAAGAAAGAAAGGAAAGAATTTAAATTTTCAGAAACCACTTATAATTAGTTGTGATGCTGAATACAAGACTTCTGTTATAATTTCATGTGACTTTTGTAAATAGAGATTTTTTCAGCAGCCCCAAGTTATTTTGACTATTAGTAAATATATAAAATATTAGAGAAAATTCAGGCCCACATAATAGATATTTCACATCAATATTAGAAAGAGTTTATAAATGTGTGTGGTTATATAAATACAGAATTATTTCCAGCAGTTTCATTAACACCTATATAAGCCGATTAGTTGTAACAGTGGGGGCTAAATTAAAACTTCAGACAGAAAAAGCTATGAATCTGCTTGTAATAATCTATAAACATGGAAAACATAGAATCAATCATGGAAAGGCAATCTGACATTTGGCACTGAGCAAGATTCTGCACAGGAAGAGCAGTAAAGATGTGGAATTTACTTCTTGTACGTAAAGTAAATGCAGGTAAAGACAGTAGATACCACCAAGAAAGAAATACATTAGCAGAATTGAAAGAGTTAATTCCCTATTTATACTTACTATTTAATTGTGGAGGCAAGAGAGCAGTTTGATTAATAATGAAGTTGATTCTATATGGGTCATTAAATCCCACATTAAGGCTTATTTTTAATATGGACTTATTTTCACACATGAATCCCAGGAGTATTCAATGACACTACCTGCATACTGATCTTCATGAAAGATCAGCCAAAATGAATAATAAGATTTAACGAGTGATGAAGATTAAAAAGCTTATTGTCTGTTTAATAGCTAATTAACTACCACATATTTCCCAAGGTTCAAAGTGGAACAAATTGTTATGGTCCTGAACCAACATATCAACCACTGTGGGCATGTACTGTCAGTTGTCACATTGTCACCAACAACTAGTACCTAATTAAATCATTAGGAAAACCATGCTGGGTGTTACCAAGATTCTAATAAAATCGTGGTGGAATTCATTGTATACTTTTCTTATATCCCACCAGCTGAGCATGCTGATCAGAGCCTTATTCATCATGTGGATTTCTCATATTTGAACCCCATTTCCACTGTGTCTTTGAGTACGGGTTAGAGGAGTATAATCAATTAAGTTGGAGACATTCACCTATTCTAGAAATAGGAGTTACTAAACTTATGGATGTGGCAATATGCAAATAACTGGCCTAATAACGTCAGATTAGTAAAAGGACCCTATGAAGTCTATTTCTCCACAATAGACTTGTGGATGGTTAGACAGCTGGTAATGTACCAATAAGTTGCTGTGCATAATAATATGAACACTGATATTGTTGGTTATTGTGCAAAATGCTGGTATCTATAAAATTCATGTACTAACAGACTCCAGAACAGGTTAAAGGACCACTATAGTGCCAGGAACACATACTCGTTTTCCAGGCACTATAGTGTCTCTAGGTTCCCCCCCACCCTTAGGGTCCCCTCCCGCCGGGCTCTAGGGTGAGGAAGGGGTTAAACACATTCTCTGAAACTGCTATGTTTATAGCAGAAAGGGTTAATCCTAGGTGGACCTGGCACCCAGACCACTTCATTAATCTGAAGTGGTCTGGGTGCCTATGGTGGTCCTTTTAGTCTGTAATTAGGATTAGATTCTAGTCCCTGTTAATGCTTTAGGCATCCCAAAGAGGCACCCATATGTACCTTGACACTGAGCCCAAGGGCCTGTGTGTTACCTCTAAAGAATACCAGTTATTGAGATGAAGCACAGCTTGCAGATGAGATTGGAATATGTAGAACCCACAGAATCCCAAATGAGAGTCAGTAGCAATCAGAACTGGTCAATTACCATATCTGTGATCAATGTTAGCTGCATTGAAATAAGTCAGTAAATAAGTCTTGATCAATGGTAATAGACAAAGTTGTGCAAGTTTCCATTCCTGGAAATATGTTGCATTCCTTAACTAAAACCTCCCTATTTTCATGTAACCCCACACAAACACGTAATCCCAACATACAGTTAAGGGTAAAGGTATTCAATCCCCTGCTAAATGTTTGTCCACTGACAAAGAAATGATCAGTCTATAATTTTAATGGTAGGTGTATTTTAACAGTGAGAGACAGAATTAACAAACAAAAAAAATCCAGTAAAACACATGTTAAAAAAGTTATAAATTGGTTTGCCTGTCAATGAGTGAAATAAGTATTTTATCCCCTATCAATCAGCAGGATTTCTGGCTCGCAGGTGTATTTTATACTGGTAATGAGCTGAGATTAGGAGCACTCTATTAACCCCTTAGGGACTGAGCCAGTTGTACAAGTTGTGATCAAAACAAAACGTAAACAAAACTTGGCATTTGCGCTATATATCTGTCCAACCGTAATTCACCACTTTCATATTAAATGCACCCACACTTATTATAGATCATTTTGTTCAGGAGAAACAGGACTTTCATGTCACATCAAATATTTATATATTAAACATAATTTAATATGAATAAAATGTAAACAAATGTGAATTTGTTTTTTTATTTCTTTTGTACTGCATGGCATTTTAACTGTGAATGTTCTAATACTGTTAGCTGTTACTGCAATAAAATGCACATATTTGTATTCAGTGAAGTCTCCTGTACAGGTTTTATGGTGTCTTGGAAAGTTACAAGGTAAAATATAGGGCTTGCGAGACAAATTCTCTGGACTCCCCCAATCCACTCCCAACCCTCCACTGTCAAAGTGGGTAACCAAACCCTGCAACTTCCCTCAGATGTAGCAAATGCCTTTAACAATTATTTTGTCGGATGCTCTACTGCTCTGATTGCCAAGCTAATAAATGACACGCATCCTGAAACTACTAATGTGGATCAGGCCCCACTAAATTTGCAAAGGCCCAATAAAGATAAGTTTAATTTTAGACCTGTACCTGTTAGTGTCATTAAAAAACATCTTAATAATCTAAAAATGAAAAACCAGTCCGGACCTGATCAAATCCCAGCAATGCTGTTGAAGCTCAGTGCGCCGGCAATTGCTAAACCCGTCTCAACTCTAATTAACGAATCCTTGGTGTCTGGATACATACCCAAACTTTGGAAGACTGCGAGAGTAGTGCCTATCCATAAAAGTGGTGACACTACTTTGGTTTCTAACTATCGCCCAATATCATTGCTCCCGGTATTGTCAAAAATCTTAGAAAAATGTGTCCATACGCAACTTTGTGAGTACTACCAACAATTAAACTATCTGACCCCTGATCAATCGGGCTTTCGCCAGAATCACTCCACTACAACTGCCCTCCTAAAAGTTTGCAATGACATCCAAACTGGCATGGAACAAGGAGCCCTAACTGGAGCTATTTTCCTTGATTTTGCTAAGGCCTTTGACACAGTAGACCACGACATTCTACTGCACAAACTCAAAAACTCAGGTATTGGTGATCGTTCTCTAAACTGGTTTCGATCATATGTATCGGATCGCTCGCAATATGTGTCCATTTCTGACAGTGACTCCCTCCCTCTCCCAGTCACGTGTGGTGTTCCCCAGGGTTCCATTCTCGGACCCCTGCTATTTACATTATTTATAAATGATCTGCCTAATGTCTGCCAATCCTCAAATGTACACGTGTACGCAGATGACACAGTAATCTATGCGAGCAAATCCAATCTACCGCAACTTGAGGCTTTGCTCCAAGACCAGTTTACAGAGGTAGAAAAGTGGATCGCAAAAATCAAACTCTTCCTGAACACTGACAAAACTGTCACAATGATCTTTGGAACAGTACCTAAATTACACAAATTACACAATTCCCACCTATCTCAATGTATCTTTCCTGGTAAAATATTTTATAAATAAATAAATAAATAAGTCCCTCAAATTGTAATGAATGAAATGACTTACCGTATATACTCGAGTATAAGTCGACCCGAATATAAGTCGAGACACCTACTTTTACCCCAAAAAACTGGGAAAACTTATTGACTCGAGTATAAGACTAGGGTGGGAAATGCAGCAACTACAGGTAAATTTCTAAATAAAATTATATCCCCCAAAAATTATATTAATTGAATATTTATTTACAGTGTGTGTATATAATGAATGCAGTGTGTGTGTGTATGTATGAATGGAGTGTGTGTGTGTATGAGTGCAGTGTGTGTGTGTATGAATGCAGTGTGTGTGTGTGTGTATGAATGCAGTGTGTGTATGAATGCAGTGTGTGTGTGTATGTATGAGTGCAGTGTGTGTGTGTATGAATGCAGTGTGTGTGTCTGTATGTGATGCAGAGCCTTGGTGGGTGGTGGGCATTTTTATTATTATTTTTTAATTATTATTATTATTTTAATATTTAATTTTTTTGTTATATTATTAATATTTTATTTTTATTTTATTATTATTTTTTAATATTATTAATTTTTTTATTTTAATATTATTTAATTTTTATTTATTTATTTTTGTACACCCTCCCTGCTTGTTGGCTGGCCGGGGGGGGGGCTCTCATTTCCTGGTGGTCCAGTGGATGGGCTGTGTAGGAGGGGGGCTGGCAGCGAGCTGTAACTTACCTTTCCTGCAGCTCCTGTCAGCTCCCTTCTCTCTCCTCCGGTCCGGTCAGCTCCCTTGTCAGTTCCACTGCAAGTCTTGCGGTCTGAGTGCCACGCTCTGACCCCGTGGCTCTCGCGAGGCTGACAGGGGAGCTGACGGACCGGAGGAGAGAGAAGGGAGCTGACAGGAGCTGCAGGAAAGGTAAGTTACAGATCATATACATTATATATATATATATATATATATATATATATACACATGATCCAAGTACTTTAATTTACTTTATTGAACTTTTTTCTTAACTCTTACTAACTTTTAAAACTTTTTTACAGGCAGCAGGGGGGCAGCCTGAGAGCTCAGGCAGTCTCCCTGCTGACATTGCATGAGCTGGCTATTCCGGCTATGTGATCGCAAGGACCCCGCGATCACATGGCCCTGGAGGGCGGGATTCGTGCAGAAGGGTGCTGCCTGATATGGGATCGGCGGGCACCCGGTAAGAGCCCTGGACGGCGGGACTGCCCATAAAAGGATGGTATAGAACGCCCGCCATCCTTAGGGGTTAAAGGAAGTGCTCCTAATCTCAGCTCGTTACCTGTATAAAAGACACCTGAAGCAATCAATCAATCAGATTCCAAACTCTCCACCATGGCCAAGACCAAAGAGCTGTCCAAGGATGTCAGGGACAAGATTGTAGACTTACACAAAGCTGGAATGGGGTACAAGACCATCGCCAAGCAGCTTAGTGAGAAGGTGATAACAGTTGGTGCAATTATTCGCAAATAGAAGAAACACAAAATAACTGTCAGTCTTCCTCAGTCTGGTGCTCCATGCAAGATCTCACCTTGTGGAGTTTCAATGATCATGAGAACAGTGAGGAATCAGTCCAGAACTACACAGGAGGATCTTGTTAATGATCTCAAGGCATCTGGGACCATAATCACCAAGAAAACAATTGGTAACACACTACGCCGTGAATGACTGAAATCCTGCAGCGCCTGCAATGTACCCCTGCTCAAGAAAGCACATGTACTGGCCCATCTGAAGTTTGCCAATGAACATCTGAATGATTCAGAGGAGAACTGGGTGAAAGTGTTGTGGTCAGAGGATACTAAAATCGCCAACTTGCCGTGTTTAGAGGAGGAGAAATGCTGCCTATAACCCCAAGAACACCATCAAACATAAAGGAAACATTATGCTTTGGAGTTGTTTTCCTGCTAAGGGGACAGAACAACTGCACCGCATCAAAGGGATGATAGACGGGGCGACGTACCATCAAATCTTGGGTGAGAACTTCCTTCCCTCAGCCAGCGCATTGTAAATGGGTCGTAGATGGGTATTCCAGCATGACAATGACCCAAAACACACAGCCAAGACAGCAAAGGAGTGGCTCAAGAAGAAGCACATTAAGGTCCTAAAGTGGCCTAGCCAGTCTGCTTATAATAAAAATCTGCAAACTGACAGTGCTCTTTGAATCTCCTGAAGACCTACTATCTTGACTACCCTACAGTACCCTATGTTAATAAATCTCTAAGTAACGCATGGTTCCACCACAGTAATGATGCAGTTCTTTTTAATATGCAACAATATAGTGACATGTGCCTCTCTAATATTAATATTTAAAAGAAAACCTTTTTAAAATGAATCCTAAATTATATAATTGCTGCTTCATGTTGGACTGAATGCAGCCCAATACTTTATGGTATTCAGTACTATAGACACACCTTGCTTCCTGACTACAGCCATGCATGTCAAGTTTTCTACTACATTTGCAAGTGCTGTAAATATCCTGAAATCCTGTTATTAGATATATTTATTTACCAATTGTTTTGTTCAGTGATTAGATTTGGTTTAGCTCTGTAGCAAACTACTTTATTATGAAAGGAAGAAATGGCAGGAAATTGAGGTCACAAGGTCCTATTTCCTTTAAGAACTCTATTTTGAATGGAATGTGTGTGCCACATAATTGGGTTTCTTATATGAGTTTTTCTAAATATTTGGAAGTGAATGTATATGACACATTTTTTAAACCACAATGCTCATATAATATGCCATCCATGGCTTGGCAGCCAAGCTAATTTGAAGTTATATGCTTATAAAAAAATAGATTGTGCTCTTACTTGGAAGCATGTTTTCAATACAATATATTTTCATTTCCTATAACCTATTTGCCTCCTTTCTTCCTGCTATTGATATCAGTTTTACATCCACACTTATGAGTGGCCTCACCAAGAATATTGCATCAGGATGCAATAGGAATATACAATACCATTGTGTTTGTTTTATATGTTATTTATTATTATTTATTTATATATAGAAATAAAGCCAAGATGACTGCACTCACCTGAAAATGTACACATTTTATGGGTGCGGTTGGGGCCATTAATACAACATACAAGATCAGTAACTTACTAAACAGCAACTTCAAAGCTCATAAAATGTAATATTTAAAAAAACAAAACACTTGACGTGGATAAAAATAATGTGATTTCAGTTACAATATATGATATATAGTCAGGTGAGTGCAGACATCTTGGAATCATATGTAAATATATTTGGGAGTCCAGACCAACTCCCTGGTTTTGCACCCCTCCCTGTCACAGGTGCTTCATTCCATGGCCCTATTTAACCTTGCGCTGCAAAGAGCCCCACAGGAGGATTGCAAAAGTAAGTAGGTTAATCTCATAAGAGTAAACATTGGGTTACTAGGATATGACCTGACAAAAATGGGATACATTAACCAGTGGTGCAACTACGGTTGCCGCAGGGGACTCAGATGCTACCGTGCCCGTCAATGCAGGGGGTTCGATCACCCTGTCGACCACTGCAACGGTAGGCCAGCATGACATTAGGGCTCGTGCACGGTCGCACTGGCACAAGGTGGGGGGCACAGTCGGGGGATAACCAGCTGGAGGGGAGCACACAGCACAGCACAGCACTCCCCCTCCTGCCAGTAACTGCATGTAACGTGGTCAAGCAGACTACATTACATGAAGTAAAGAAGATCTTCTAACCACGGTATACTCAGCCATGCTACATGAAAGTCAACAGGCACAGGAGAGTAGAGGGATGGAATGGGATATGAGACACATTGAGGGGTTTGGGGTAGGTTGGACCGAGACACACAACCTTAACCAAGATGAGACACATGGAGGTGCTGGGAGTGGAAGAATGAGACACATGGAGGGGCTGGTGGGGATGAGAATGAAACACATGGAGGGGTTGGGGGGAAAAGAATGAGATATATGGAGGGGCGAATGAGACATATGGATGGGGCTGTAGGTGAAAGACACATGGAGGGGCTGTGAGTGAACGAGACACATGGAGCTGCTGTGGGTGAATGAGACACATGGAGGGAACTGGGGGGGGGTAGAATGAGACAAATGGAGGAGCTGTGAGAGGAAAATGAGACACATGGAGGAGTGGGGCCACCCCCTTGCATGGAGAAGATGAGAGGGGAAGAATTAGACACACGGAGGAGCTGCGTTGGATAAAACATATTGAGGATCTGGGGGATGAATAAGACACTGAAGGGGCTCGTGGGGATGAGAGACATGGAGGAATTGGAAGGGGAGAATGAATGGAGGGGCTGAGGGAAATTGAGATGCATGGAGTGCCTGGGGAAATTAGACACATGTAGGTGCTGGAGGGATGAGACACGTGGAGGGGGTTGGAGGGAGAATGAGACACATGGAGTGGCTGGGGGAGAATGAGACACATGGGGGGGCTAAGGGGCTGAATTAGACACATGGAGGGGCTGGGGGGAATGAGACACATGTAGTGGCCGGTGGAGAATGAGACACACTGAGGGGCTAAGGGGATTGAGACACATGGAGGGGCCCAGGTCAATGTTCACCCGGTGGTTCTAATTACGCCTCTGACATTGGCATTATGGCAATGCAATGCAATTCATATTTTTTTGCCTGGGTCTGATTCTGCCAGTGATTAGTGGAAGATCCAGACAATTACAATAACTATTTAAAAGGACACTTTTAAAAACAACTTTAGCTTAATGATGTACTTTTGGTGTATATATTATGCCCCTGCAGCATCACTGCTCAGTTATCTGCAACTTAAGAGTTAAATCACTTTGTATATGAACCCTAGGCGCACCTACTCCAGCAAAGATTCACACAGTCTTCCCTACACACCGCCTGAAAAAGAGTTTAAAAAGAGTCTACATTTTGTAGCTATCCTTATTACTTAGTAAGCTTAATTAAGAATTTTGTATCTCATAATCTGTTAATAGCCTGCAATATCCTCCTTTGAGTATTTAAAGTTCAGTAAACAGAGCAGGTAGTAAGAACATCTAAAGCATGATGCTATGTAATTTTAAAAGGAAATGCTAGAGGCATGCAAAGCATCATGGGAGTTGTAGTTCCACAACATCCGGGGATCTACCTGTTGGGCAGCCCTGATCATGAATAATTTGTGCTAAGTGTGCCGATAAGTAAAGTTGTGAAGATTGGGAAGTCCTAGTCCTCCTCTGCATTTGGGAGTGTATAGGGTCTGTCTCGCTATCCTGTGCCTCTTCCCGACCCAAATGAAGCGGTCTATTGCAGTCTGGAGTGGTTTAAGGTCTCCCTTGATGACCCTTACCGGTAGTGGCTGGAAGAGGAACAGGAGGCGCGGTAGTATGTTCATTTTTACGCTGTGCAATCTTCCTATCCATGATATAGTTTTTTTCGTGCCAGTTATCCAGGTCCTTCATTAGGGTCGTTATTAAGCGGATGTGATTCTCAGCGTATAAATCGTTAGGGTTGGGTGTGATTGCAACTCCAAGGTATTTAATTGGCCTTTGGTTAATGTTTAGGCTATAGGTTTGGGCCAGCCAGTTGGTGTCCGACTTGGGTAACCCTATGGGCATGCCCATCGTTTTGTCTACGTTTATTTTGTACCCCGAGACGCGTTTATATGCGTCTAGTAGGTCGAGGAGGTGTGGTACTGAACTTTTCGGTTCAGTTAGTAGAATGTCATCGGCGTAAGCTGAGACTTTAAATTCCTCCATCGCTACCTTTACGCCTTTTATCCCTGGGTGTTCCCTTATGAGTTGTAGTAGGGGTTCTAGGGCTAAGATGAGCAGAAGGGGGGATAAAGGGCAGCCCTATCGTGTGCCATTTTTGAGGTCAAAAGGGTGTGGAGCTGTTCCGGGTATCATTGTTTGCGCTCTAGGGTGTGTGTACAGGGCTTGGACCGCTGCAACAAATGGGTCTGGTAAGTGTAGTTTACGCAGCACCGCAAATAGGTAAGGCCACAGGACCCTGTCGAACACCTTCTCCGCGTCCAGCGAAAGGAGCAGAGAAGGCGTCCGCATCCTCCCAGCCCACCACACGAGATCAACCGCTCTCCTTGTTTTCTCGTATAACTGTCTTGTGGGGACAAAGCCCACCTGGTCAGCGTGTATGTATCTGGCAAGAAGCGGGTTCAATCTGTTGGCTAATAATTTGGCGTATGTCTTCAGGTCAAAGTTTATAAGGGATATGGGGCGGTATTTGGTGATGTGTGTTGTCTCTATCTGGTTTGGGAATAAGGGTTATGTCCGCTGTCAGGAGGTCTTGATGAGGTGCTTCTCCCTCTGTCCATTGTTTGTACATTTTAGTTAGGTAGGGTGTGAGCTCGTCTTTAAAGGTCTTGTAATAGGCACCGTCAAATCCGTCAGGCCCGGGGGCCTTGTACCCCTTGAGCCCGGCGATGGCCGCTACTACTTCATCTATGGGTGCCCCCAGGGGCTCTATCAAGTCTGCTGAGAGTCTCTGGAGTCGGGCTTTGTTTAGGAATGTCGTGATCTCTTCCATATATTTGCCGTTGTCTTCCGTCAGAGCAGGGGCGTGGTCGTATATATTTTGGCAAAGAAGTGGGTGAACTCTTCATTTACGTATGTGGGGTTGGTGAGAATCGTTCCTGCATGTTTCTGATGGCTATTAGTGAGGTCTTAGTCTTTTTGGGTCATAAGGCTCTCGCCAGGAGAGTGTCCATTTTATTAGACTTCTCGTAAAAGAGCCTTTTCGTACGGCGTATGTCATTACTTAGTTCGTCAATCATCAATTCCCTAAGCAGTCGTCTAATTTTGTTTAGGTCTCTTGTGCTGGTTTAAGTGACTGCCTGTTTGTGTTGCAGTTCTACTTTGCGCAGTTGCTTTTGTAATTCCACTAGCCTGTCATATTTTTCCTTTTTATGCTATGTAGCCAGCTTTATAAAGAGGCCTCTTATCACTGGTGTGTGGGCCGACCAGGGGGTTGTTGGGGAGATATCGGGGGTGTTGTTAGTCTGAAAGTAGAGCGTAATCTCTTGCTTAATGCGCTCCTGTATCTGTGGGATCTCGAGGAGGGAGTCGTTCAACCTCCATCTCCAGGGTGTGCTGGCCCCGGGGGTTTTGAGAGTTATTTCTATATCTGCGTGATCCGACCAGGATATCAGGTTTATCGCGGAGGTCTTGACCCATTGCATGCCCAGCCTATTAGTGAGGAAGAGATCTATACGGGAGTAAGTGGCATGAGGTGCAGAGTAGAATGTGTAATCGCGCTCAGTTGGGTGTTGGATCCTCCATGAATCCAACAGTCCTGTATTAAGTATGAATTTGTGTAGGAGTTTGTCCTGTCCTCCTCTGTTTTGTGAGCGTGGGAGGTGTTGTCCCTGTCTCCGGTCTGATGCCGGGCAAGGTGTCGCGTTGAGGTCCCCTCCCAATATCAAAATTCCCCTTGGTAGTTTATGTACTATTGTTTCGAGGTCTGACCAGAACTCTGGGGTGGGGGAGTTTGGTGCGTAGACATTGAGGAGGTGGTAGGTGGTGGAGTGGAGTGTGCCCGATAGTACCACGTACCGGCCTTCCGAATCAGTTTGTACCCCTGTAACTTGTATAGGGCATTTCTTGTGTATGAGTATTTCTACTCCGTTTTTTTTATAGGGGGCTCGTGATGCATTAGCTCTTGTGTATACATGATCTGGCTTATTCGTGAGCTACGTGGTATGTGTGTCTTTTGCACGAATGTGATGTCAGCCTTGTGTCATCTTATTTCCCTGAGCAGCAGTCTGTGTTTATTGGGTATGTTAAGTCCGTTTACGTTTAATGAGGTTAGTTTGAGGTCCATGTCTCGTTGTGGTGCGGCGTTTGTTGGCTTACCCAACTGAAGACAGGTTGTCAGGCGATTCCGGTTGTCCGGCGCGACCTGTGCCGTCCGCCCTGGTGGGTGTGGTCCTGGGGTCGAGCCTTCTTCAAGGTCTACGGAGGGTGGTACGGTTGTCGGGAGAGGTGGGGGGATGGAAGAAAATGGGTGGGTATAGGAAAAGTAGATAGAAGGCGGAGTGTGAAAGTGAAAGGTTGTGTACAACTTAAGAGGAAGCAAATGTACAAGTTATATATCCAAGTAAATGCACTGTTGTGAACAGTCAAGGTTCACAATTTGCTTAATACAGTAAATCAATCAGTAAGTTTTTCCGGGTCTTACGAGTCGCCAGGAGCTATAGGGGTGGGCGTCCTCTAACGGGGGGAAGCTCAGCCGGTATGCACCCTGTCGAGGCTTACATACGATATGAACAACCTGTGCAGTCTGTCCTATAGGGGGGAGGGGAGAGTTCACCTGTCGCATGCCTGGCAGGTCTGGCGTTCGGCGTGTCTGTCACTGTAAGCTATATGTCTGGAGGGGGGTTTCATCTATAAATTTGTGTTCCGATGGGGGGGTGACATTGGTGGTCTTTTGTCATCGTGGGGCCGTGTTGTACCCTTGTTGTTGTCGTCTCGTTTTCTTTGCTCTTGTGGCTGTGCTTCCGATTCGGTCTGTTTGTCATTGTGCATGGTAAACATGCTGGGGGAGTGCCTCTGGTTTCCGTTCCCTTGGTGTTAGTTACTGGGGTCAGCTAGCTGTTTGTGGCTTGTGATCACATGGGGGGGGTTATGCCTCAGGGTCGTGCCTTAGCAGGGTATCCCGGCTGTTGTGTGTCCGTGTTCTTCCCCTTGGCGACTGTGTGGGTTTGCGTCGGCGGAGGTGTGGTCTCAGAGGGGTGTGTCATCTCCTGGGAGTTCCCTATCACGTCAGTGCTCTGAGGTCGTTTACCCCTGGTGAAGGGGCACCCACCATCCCGTGGCCTAGCGTTCCCGCTCTTTTGTCTATCACACTTTTAAGCTGACTAATCATTAAAACGCATTGAGTTTGTATCCTAATTGTAACAAGCAGCATCATCCTTCCCCCCCTCCCCATTTGATTTACATCGTGCATCGCTATGTCTAAGGCTGCTTTCAGTCACGTTTCAATTTTTTTTTTCCCTCCCTTTGCATAAAACGTTTCATCTTATATTTCATATTTTAGTGACAGTTATGGTGGGTATGCATAGGCTATGAAAAACTCCTGTTTTCAGGTGCGGTTGTTTGATACAGCCCAGGTAGAATGTATCAAAATCTGTTTTACTATAATGATCCTGTGGCCTACTCAAGAATTTAAAATATATAGCATAAAGTGGGATTATTCTGTTAGATCTTCCAATAACCAGCAATCTATTAAATACGCTCTCATATTTATGTTCTACCAGGAGTTACTCCTTATTCCTTATTCGGTTTTCTAGTGTTTTATTAACTACCTTCTTATTGTTTCTCTTACCTAGAAGGTTCACATGTATAGTTTAATATTTTCCATTAACATTTTTTATTTCAAGGCTTGTCATTTACAAAATATTTTAGAACTGTTGCTCCCCACTCTTAAAATCCTTTTTAGCAAGTCCTTCAACGTGGTCATTAATTAAATTTAAAATATATACCTACTTTTCAAAATTTGTCCTCCGGTATGTGAATGTTTTTGACCCTCATCCACCAGTAACATCGACTCTCTCTAGAAAAAATGGCTCACATATGTTCACATATCCCAGGTTTACTAATGAGTTGTGTTGGGACAATTTTTGAATTTTGTGAGTAGGGGTGTGCATGATTATTACTTTACCCATGCAACAATATGCCTCAACAATGTACAAGGACAAATAACATGCTATGGGTAAGTTCTATTTATTTGAATGTGGAAATGATGATTTAAAAAAAACAAAAACAAACAAAAAAAACATATTCTTGTTATTTCAGCAGCTCTTGGCAGTAAAATTAGACTGACCAGAGAACCAAGCCGGTGGAAGTTTGACAAGTGAAATGCAACTGAGAATGAGCTAAGGTACCCTTGATCTTTTGCTTCTTTTCCCGATTTGTTGTCTCTCTGTTATGCACCTTTGCCTGTTCATTGTCTTTCCTTTACCAGCTCACTGGTGATTTTATTCCTTTTGGCCCAGCCCCCACTAAGAGCCTGACAAAAAAACAGTTATCCAGTTTTAGGTCTTTCCTCATTGTATATAAAATATAGCTCTGCATGTTGGATGTCTTACTTTGACAATGGAGACTCCAGGGTTGGAAATGTGGGCTTGTGGTTTTGTGTCAAATATGGACTATCCCTCAAAATCTTGGATGGAATGCTGAAGAAATAATCTTACTACTGGCAGACTGGAGAGACTTATTGATGGAACAGAGATAGCAGAGTGCAAAATGAAGATGCAACATTACTAGGTTATCACATCCTGCATTCTAATGTAACGTAGTGGGTACCTAAACACTGGGTATTGGTGCTGCAAAAATATTGATTGACATGCCAAATATCCACTTCCCTTGACTCTCTCTCCTGAAAAAAAATAAATAAAATAAAAAAAATATATATATATATATATATATAGAGAGAGAGAGAGAGATAGACATGTAAGATATTTTGTTCAATGTCTACTATTGTATATTGAACCACCACACAAGTTTGTATATAAACACTAAAGGCGTTTTTTGTGCACAAGACATGAACTGATTTTACAAAGTGTCACTTTGTTGGGGAACCAAGGCTGGCAGGGATCATGCTCTGTGCCATTTTTTACTACTCAGACATTTGTTTTTTTTTTACCAACAATAGACTAAAACATATCTAAATATCTTGAAACAGAAAGAAAAATGAGTCATAATATGGAGAAAAAGCCAAGTATTCCAAGTATTCCTTCAAAATAAATGTGGGCTCATACAACAAGTATTTTTCAACAACAAACTACCGAACAGCTCAGGCTTTCAAATTTCTAAGTAGTGTCCTATGCCTAAACACATCTTCTAAGAAAAAGGCTAGGGTACTCATTAATTGTATTTAAAATTCCTACCCAGAGCATATCTGTGCCACAAACTAGCAATGTTTCTGTGAGAACTCAATTAATCTTTATTATACGTGTGTTTTGCCTCCTGGGGCAATTTTCCATATGTATGTTGTTGACAATGTTTAAGTTAGCATTGTGTTCAAGTTACATAATACCTTAAATTAGGTCATATTAGATGGGGAGTTCTATACAGCCACCAGATGTGAAGCAAAATCACATTACTAGAGGAGTGATGTAAATTTAAGAAAATCTTTAGCAGGAACGTCTAAGCCAGAAATGTCCACCCTTGGCAAGATAGTTCAACCTGAACTACATTTCCATTTATATATAGCAGTTGTCGTCTGACAGCTGGTATATTGTATTGGGAATTGTAGATCACAAACATACAGAGAGGTAAGGTTGGGCACCTTTACATTATGCTTATGTTTAGATTCGGAACATAATTGTCCATTTAATAAATTAACTTTCTGGTGGGC